AGAGACGGAGAGAGAGAGAGAGGAGAGAGAGAGAGAGAGAGAGAGAGAGAGGGAGAGAGAGAGAGAGCGAGCGAGAGAGAGTAGGAGAGAGAGAGAGAGGAGAGAGAGAGAGAGACAGAGACAGACAGATGGAGAGGGAGCGGCTCCCGAGTGCCTCCCCGAGAGAGGAAGAGAGGGGGACTGGGAGGCGGTGGGGAGGAAGGAGAGGAAGCGCCTCTGGTGTCCGTGGGTGGTGAAGGGAGCCTCTGCCCATGCCAGTATAGTGTGCTGTGACCTGGTTGAAGAGCGTTAGCCTTGCCTTCTGCCGGTGGTGACCGTTGGTGGTCATGTGCCCGCAGCTGATCACTGGTTGACCACTCTGACCAGTGACCGCTCAGCCGGACAGTGACCGTTCGTTGGCGTTTATCCGCAGCTGAACCGCTCAGGGTCGACCTCACCAGTCCGGGGCGGGTCGCCTGCCTTCGGGTGGTCGGCTAAAGTGGCCACCGTCAACGGCATCTCCCGGTACAGGGTCACCAGAGTCAGGTCAGGGTCAGGTCAGACGGCACAGGGTCACCACAGTCAGGTCAGAGTCAGATCAGACGGCACAGGGTCACCAGAGTCAGGTCAGAGTCAGGTCAGACGGTACAGGGTCACCAGAGTCAGGTCAGAGTCAGGTCAGACGGTACAGGGTCACCAGTAGAGATGTCAATCGGATACCAACTTTTTGGTATACCGATACCAAACCGATACCAACTTGGTATTTGGTATTTCAATCGTAATGTGTTTGGTATTCTGTTGGTATCATAAGCCCTTACTAATGTATAAGAGGCTAAGAAATCGGTAAAAAGTTGGTATTTCCCTCAGCTTCCCAAGTTGGTTTGGTTTCGGTATTTTCCCGTGGTTTTGGTTGGTATTTGGTTTGGTATCGGTATTCCGATTTTCCGTAATTGACATCACTAGTCACCAGAGTCAGGTCAGAGTCAGGTCAGACGGTACAGGGTCACCAGAGTCAGGTCAGAGTCAGGTCAGACGGTACAGGGTCACCAAAGTCAGGTCAGAGCCAGGTCAGACGGTACAGGGTCACCAGAGTCAGGTCAGAGTCAGTTCAGAGTCAGATCAGCGTCGGGTCAGAGTCGGTTCAGAGTCGGGTCAGAGTCAGACGATAAAACAGGTTCATCGAAGTCAGGTCGGACGGACGTCGGCAAACAGCACAACCGCGCTGGCACTGTGTGGTGAGATGAGTTGAAAAGTACTTGTCGTTAACATGCTTTTTTTTTACTGTTAGTCAGGAGTCATAAAGCAGTATACATATATGTATATGGCTAGCATTCCTTTTCGTACAAAGTCCAAGACAGCTGGCAGGCTGACAGCTCACTGCGCGCTGCTCCCGCTCAGGGCGGCGCCGGCTCGGCCGGACGGCGGGCTCTCCATCAACTCCACCTGGGTGACGCCCTCCTGGCAGCTGTCCGTGGACGTGACGTACCACTCGTGGGCGCGCAACGGCACCATCACCTACCGCGCGCCGGCCAGGGTCCAGGTCACACTGGGTGAGTGTCCGAGTAGTGTTCGGGTTAGACTGGGTGAGTGTCCCGGGTCCGGCTCCGGCTGGATGAGTGTCCCGGGTCCTGGTCACACTGGGTGAGTGTCCCGGCCATGGTCAGATTGGGTGAGTGTCTATGCCGGACGGATGTCGGACAGGTCACCGGCGCGCCGCGATCGCAGATGCGATCACACAGACACAGACTGAGCCGCCGGCAGCTGAGATCGCCACTGTTTGTCCAGTAGGTACCCTCTATGTAGTGGCGCCATCTGCTTGTATTCTCTCTCCGTCAGGTTCTGTGCTAGCGCGCCTACACACGGAGCTGTGTGCTGCCCGGCCGGTCAGGAGGGCCGGCTCAGACGCCACCGACCCTCCGTTCGACATCGAGTTCCGAGCGGAGACGATGAGCGCCAGACTGAGGTTCCTCTCCTGGCTGGAGCGGGAGGATGGTGAGGAATGGTAGGGATGGTGGGAACTGAGGAGGAATGGAGGGGATGGCGGGAAATGGGGAGAAATGGGGAGGATGGTGGGAAATGAAGAGGAATGGGGAGGATGGTGGGGAATGGGGAGGTATGGGGAGAACGGTGGGAATGAGAAGGAATGTGGAGAATTGAGAGAAAATGGGAGGCGTGGGGAGAATTGAGAGGAAATGGGAGGCGTGGGGAGGATTGAGAGGAAAGGGAAGGCGTGGGAAGGATTGAGAGGAAAGGGGAGGCGTGGGGAGGATTGAGAGGAAAGGGGAGGCGTGAGGAGGACTACGACGGAGAGGAGTGAGGAGGACGGAGAGAAATGGGGATGGTGGTGGGGAATGGGGGGGGACTACCGGCATGCTCCTTCCTAGTCAGGACGGACTGGTGAGGAAGGTACTCATAAAAGCAGGTGAGTCGAATAGTGCGAGAGCACTATTCGTTTTTCGCAAATAACGTAATAACTATGTTTTTCGCAAATAACATAAAAACGGCGGCGCGTAGCGCCGCCAAATTTAGCATATTGTCTGGGGCAGCCTTTTCGCACCTATCCTAAAAATTTGAAGTCTTAGTCTTTTCAGGTCAGGTCACCATGTCACAAAAACCGGTACAAGGTCAGGGGAAAATTGGACTAGCTTAGCGGCAACTGAATTTCAGAGCTCACTTAAATTGGTAACAAAGTATATCCATTCGATGCGCACGGACGTCTTGTGTTCACTGGTGCTTTTATTTTTGCTCTACCTTTACGAGGTAAAAAGTTAAAAGCGAAAAAACTTTTGACATGTTTTAACCCACGCGGCGCTGGGGTCTCCAGCCGAACGCTCGGGGCTGGGGGGGGGGGGTAAATTTTACCCCCCTGTTATCTCCCGAACTAATGGTCCTATTTGGAAAATTCAAACGCTTATCGAAAGATCTCATCACGAAAAACTAACAACATGTACTTAATTTAAATTTTAAGGTCAAGGTCAAGGTCGGGTCAAGGGTACAAATTTCAAGATTCTACAGCATCGGTATCGGCCTTGCACCGTAGTTGCCGAAGAATGGACTGAGACTGATAGCCCAAAACGTGTTCTTAGGCTACCAAGGCAATATTCGTTGCACACACTATCATTTAGAGGTCAAGGTCAAGGTCAGGTCAGGTCAGGTCAGGTCACCAAAAACAAAATAAAGGAAAGGGCATGTGGGACACATGTTTTATGGGTCATTTTACTCATAGAATTCAATAGGCAGACTCAATAGGTGATATTGACCACATCTGGATGAAGTTCAGGTCGAGGTCAGGTCAAGGTCAGGTCAAGTGAGGTCAAATTTTGAAGTTGGTTGTTAAGGCCTAAAAAGGTGTCTGTCTGATGCAGTTTTTCACGGCAAATCGAATGGTGCTATTTTTGTTTCCGTAGGAGGTCTAGAACTTCCAAAAAAAAATCCATTTTCAAAAAAAAATTGTTTGTCGTAACGTCATAAAATTTAAATAACTCCCACATTTTTGAACTAATTCTTCTAAAAATTAGTATGTAGGTGCACATGAACCACTTCTCTGGACATATATTCCGGTTTTTTCGATACACGCAAAATTTTGGATTTTATATTTATTTTCCCCAAAAAGTCAGTTTTTTTTAGGAAAAATTAGGCCAAAATTAAAAAATAAAAAAACCGAGATAGTAATTTGATAGACAAAGTAGAAACACGTATAACCTTCTTTCCCAGTAAACATGCCGACGTCGGCCCGACGTCGGGCCGAGGCTCGGCCCGACGTCGGCCCAAGCCCCCTGGACGAGTCCGCCTTCAAGTGGTGGGGTGTGTGGTCGCCTGCGACCGCCGTCTGCGGTGGACAGCCGCGGACGGAACGCCAAACGGACTCAACTGGCCTCTCTTCCCTCTGCGCGCGGCCACTGCCTGGTGGCACGTACTCCATCTACCGACTCTTCCTCGCCGAGGGTCGTCCGTCGCCTGGGCAGCGCACAATGCCCCCGCGGGCCTGGGAGCCGCGCTCGCAGCGCGGCCCCGGCCCGCTGAGTGATTAGCGCGCCGGCCGCGCCCCCCTCCGTCGCCGGAGGAGGGAGCACCGACGGGGTGGGGACTGGCAGTAGGCGCCGCCTCAAGAACCGCCGCTACCGCAAGAATCGGGCCAGGAGAAGCCACGTGACGCTTGTCTCATGGAATGCCGAAGGTTTGCGCACCAAGGTGCAAGAACTGGGAGGCTGGCTTTCCGCGATTAAAGCAGATGTAGCGGCCATTCAAGAGGCTCAGCTGCCGAAGGCGGTGCCGAGCATACCAGGGTTCCAGCCCCCCGTCGTAGTGCGCAGGGCGCGCGGAAGACAGACCGGCGCGGTGTCGGCGAAGGGAGGAGACGTCGCAGTGTATGTCCGAGCTGGACTGCACTTCTCACCTCTCTCCGACCGGTAGGGGAGAGCGGGGAGAGTTGTATCATGTCCAAGTTGTATCAGGGCGAATTGTGCCAAACTTATCCAATGGATGGCGCTCGCGACACGACCAGCCGACGAGGTTTTCCGGGCGCCATCTTTCCCTGTTCTGTCTTGTGGCTGAGTGGACGCGTCTCGAGGTGAGATCCGATTTTATGTTTTTTTAATGTCATTCTAAAAAAATAAGTTGCAAGAAAATGTGTGTTTTGGGCATTTAGATGTGCACGAATTTGAAAGATCTCCGTAGCGGTGGTGAGGGTAGGTTCTAAGGCTGCGTGAGTGAAAACGGATTTCTCCAGCTGTCCGCTGTTTTTTGAGCACGAGGATGTTTTTCCAAGATGGCGGCTAGGTACATGTTGTATCAGAGCCGGGTGGGGTATGTTGTAACATGTATGTATGTATGTATGTATGGGTATGTTGCTTTTGATCGCGAAAGCTAAGCCCTGGCTCGCGTTTGTAGGTAGCTAGTCAATGCTCGTTCCATTTCGGCACAATGTGTTGGCTTCTTTGCTCTTAACGGGCCACTTTTGCGTCTAGTCTGTTGATGTTTCGTTCGGATTGCATTGACCTAAGTTTGGTCTAATAAAGTGAAGCCTTTGAGCATACCTATACATTGTATTAACCCCATTTAATGTTGCTGTTATGTTCAAAACCAGTAGCAAGCACACTCCCTGAAACGTGAAATAGTGATACAAATTACCCCACCATGTGATACAACTCACCCAAGCCATGGGGCAAGTTGTATCAAAAACATTGTTCTATTCGGCAGACCGTAGAAGAAAAACTGGTAGAGGTAGCGGAAAAGTTACTTTGCACAAAAAAGCAGAAGAATCAAGGAAGGGGATAGTATGGAAATAATGAGTTTATCACGGATAGTTACGAGTTTATGGGTCTCGGAGTAAAAACTGATACAACCCACCCCACTCTCCCCTACCTGGCGGCAGCGGACGACACCACGGAGCTCTGTGGAGTCCGTCTGCTAGGACCGCAGACACTGGATGTGCTCAACATCTACAGACCGCCCATCCGGGCGACGGGTGACGACCGAGAGGACCGCTTCGACCCGCGATGCCTCCCCAACAACAACAAGACCATCATCATCGGCGACATCAACGGCCATCACCCCAGCTGGGACAGGGCCTGCGAAGCGGCTGACGCGGTGGGGGAGAGGATGGCTGACTGGATGGAAGCGGAGGGATGGGTCCCGCTCAACAGCGGAGAACCCACCTTCACGAGCTACCGATCAGGTGCTCAGACGGCCCCAGACCTCGCCGCGTGCAGTGCCCCCCTGGCCCGCAGGGCAGTGTGGTCTCTCGGCCCTGACCTTGGGAGCGACTACCTTCCCATGGTGGTGGAGGTGAGGTCCGAGACGGCGCCCCCCAGGAGGGTCCGCAAGACCAAGTGGGCGTTCCACAAGGCGGAGTGGCAGGCGTTCGCGGCCGACTGCGAGCAGTCGCTGGCCGAACTGGAGCCGGACCTGACGACTCAGGTATTGGCGGACCGGTTCGAGTCGGCGCTGCAACGGGCTGCAGTGCGCCACATCCCGCGAGGCGCCAGGGCGGATCCTCGCCCGTGGGCCTTGGACCCCGACCTCCAGGAGGCGATCATAGAACGGCGCGCGGCGCGCGCGGCCCTGCGCGATGGTGACACACCGTCCCGGGAGCGCTGGATCGCGGCCAAGCGGCGCGCGGCCGAACTGGAGAAGAAGGCCACCATCGCACACTTCAAGGACTTCGTCTCCACCACCTTGAACAGGCCAGCCAACGTCGGCAGGGTCCACAAGACGCTGAAGAAGTGGAAGCGATGTTGTGACGATGAGCCCAGGGACGGCCAAGCGATGCTGAAGGGAGACCGCCTCATCGTAACCGACCGCGATAAGGCAGAGGCCTTCGTCCAAGTGTATGCGAGGGTCTCGAAGCAGGTGCGCATACCGAAGCTGGACCGCGATACCAAGAGGCAGCTACGGGAAGAGCACCGCTCCTGCCGCGGGTGCGGCGATCGACGAGAAGGAACATGCGGCCCCTTCAGCCTGCAGGACCTGGTCAGAGAGCTCAGCGGACTCCAGCTCAAGAAGGCCCCCGGACCAGACGGCATCTCGAACGAGATGCTCCGACATCTAGGACCGGTGGCTCGCAAGGTCCTGCTGACCATCATCAACATGTCGTGGCGGACCGCAGAGGTCCCGAGGCAGTGGCGACAAGCGACGGTGGTCCCCATCCCCAAGGCGGGGAAGGACAAGCGACTCACCGCGAGCTACCGCCCCATCGCTCTGACCTCGCACGTCGGCAAGTTGGCTGAGCGACTCATCAAGCGACGTCTCACCTTCCTGGCCGAGTCCCGCGGACTGGTCCCACCGGAGCAGGTCGGCTTCAGGGCTGGCCGATCGGTCGAGGACAGCATCGGCAGACTCGTCCAGCAAGTGCAAGACGGATGGAATCGGCCCAAGTCCAGACGTGCAGACCCACCAGAAGGCACCACCGCCCAGAAGTACGTGCTGGTCGCGTATGACTTCGCGCGTGCCTATGACGTGGTGGACCATCGCCTCCTACGTCTGAGACTGCT